ATTGAATTGCCTTTATTCTCTATTCAATTGTCAACAATTGCCTGTATTTGTATGGATCTATTTTGGAGCTCTCTGTATTGTTTCCATTGATCTACTTGTCTATTCTTTCATCAATACCACACTGTCTTGATTATAAGTAAGTCTTTGAGTCAGACAGTGTTGGTCTTCAAACCGTCTTTCTTCTTCCTCATTGTTGTGGTGGCTATTTTGAGACTTTTGTTTTTCCATATAAATTTAAGAATCACTTTGGCAATATCCACAAATAACTTGCCTCCAAGTAGAGGTGGAAGATTAGCTCCTCATGGGGCCCAAAGACCACCAGGGGAGGAGGAGGAGGAAGGAGGAGGAGGGAGGGAAGTGCCAGTGAGCCCCACCTCTCATCACTTTATTCCACCTCACTGCTGCTGGGTGGGGCTGAAGGTAGACTTAACACTGGGTCCACCGACACTACCCCACTGGGGGAATCGGAGCATGGCACTCACGGGAGGGGACCAGAGGGTGGGGTGGGAGATCAACTCCTCATTTAGCCCCACTGAAACCCATTCTAAGTGTGTTTCCTTAGACTCTGTGTTTGTCTACTTGGCATCTATTCATCACAGGGCCAATTACATTAACTATATTTTCTTGAGAGATCTTGCAGAGTTCTGGAAAGGAAGAACAAAAATTCAAGACCTAGCAAGCAGAAATTAAGGAGCCTTGGAGCAGTAAGTGCAGCATACCTTTCCCCTGGGCGCCTGATCCATGCCAGACGCGAGCCTGTGCCAGAAACCAAAGATGGAAGAGACACGGTCCTTTCCACCAAGTTGTGCAGACAAAGGAGGGCAAGGCAGACCTGCAAGGCCACAGCAGGCGCAAAGGGGTGCAGGGAGGAAGCACCCTGCCTTGGCGTGTCAGGAAATGCCTTCCAGATAAGTGGTCACTGGGCTGTGCCTTTGAGGAAGACTAGAGTTGAGATAGGTAACAAGAAAGATTACGACCCAAAAGAGCAGCATCTCAGACACCCAGCACCTTTGGCTTGTTCCACCCTATGCCCCAGCTCCCAATTTACTTCTGAACATTGCACTGTGCTTTAGTGTGGCCCCATACACGATTTGAAAGCGATTTTCATGTCAATCTTTTTTCTTGGTTAAAGAAATCGGTAATTTGCAGGAAGGTAGGAGGCAAAAGGCAAAGAGGCATTTTGGAATCACAAGACTTTGATTTAGAACAAGACTGATTTACCAGGCAGATGAACTGGGACAAGATATTTAGCCTCATTAGGCCGTAGTGTCCTCATCTTCAAAATGGGGAAAATACTTATAACTCCTACCTCACAGACTGAGAGTAAATCATTTCGGTAGGCGTGTGCTAAGCGCCCACGCTGTGGCCCGCACTGGGCCTGCAGAAAACGAAGATGAGGAAGTCACAGTTCCTGCCCATGAGGAGCTCCGGCTTCAACCTCAGGGGCAACTATCTAAAGCAGAGAGTACAGGACCATGCCCAGTAGACACTCAGGTTTCTGCACTGCAGCCTGTGGCATCGGACATGCTCTAAAATCCTGATAACAATTCTTTATGTGTAGTAGCCTTTTTGTTGGGAAATAAATGAAGTGCTGTTCTTAAAATGTCAATTATAAGAGGCCTCTCCAATTCCAGCTCCTCCTCCACACAAACCGCACCGGAGGAACATCACTACTGGGAAGGAACCAGGCGGAATGTTCCCAGTTGCAAGTGGCTCATACACACACTGATGAGTCACAAGGGTGAATGCATCGGCTCAGGGAAACAATGTCTGACAGTAGAGGTCGCTCTAGGCTCTGTTTCATTCTGAGGTCACTTTACCATCAGGGCACCAGCCACCTGAGTTCCGTGCTCCCTGGTGGGTTGGCTTCAGGTTGGCTTCCCGGTAACAAACGTTGCCACAGCAGTTCGAGGCCATACCAACACCATGTCAACCTTCCCAGCGAAAGGCCTGCACCTCGGCTCCGACACGCTGAGGTCACATGCTCGCTCCTGGCCCACCATTGTGGCCAGGTAGATGGTGGCTCTGACTGGCTTAGCCCCTTGGCTCTGGAGAGGAAGTCAGCCTGGGGCCACATGTGATGCCCAAGCAGAAACTGGAAGTTGTGGGGAAGGGTTGAGGGTGAACTGGAGGCATCAACTATCATTCCACAAGTGTGGCCTGTGCTCTGGGGGAGGAACACGGGGACGCAGGCCGAGTTCACGGCCTGATCTTCACACACACTCCTCTTCCCTGGACCAGCACTGCCCTCACAGAAAGAGTTCTTCAGTGTTTTCCCTGCGAACTTCACATTTAGAGGCTGACCATCCTGCTCACCTCTCTACCTGAAGAGAGAGGGAGGGGGACAGTGCTCTCAGGGACCATTAGTTCCCATCTCCTCCACTATCCCATTGTGTCCCACAAACTTCACTTTTAGATCTCCCCTACTTGGCATTTCCAAGTCCCCAAACTCTACCTGTTCTCCAGGACAGGAAAGTCACCTTCCTCCACTGGGAGACCCTCACAAGCTTCACACTGCAACCTTCCTGCCCTGCATCCGCGTTCCTTCTAGAATCAGGCAGACATCTCTGGCCTCCTGCAGTCCCTCTACCATCCTCATCTGCACTGGGATTCCATATCTGTATTCTTCCACTATCGTGCAGTCTAAAGAAGGAGAGGAGATCAATACACGTTTGGTTGGTCATTTTAGGCAGGAAGTCAATGACCCATATTTTTCCACCCAAATTAAATCTGTCGTGTCTTTGACTGGCTTGAATAAATTCATGTCAAAGATTAAGTGATTAGTGTTTTCACAGCCTCTGGCACACGGGGATGACTTTGGAGGAGGTAACCAGGCAGCGAGGGCAGCAAAGCTGTCACTGGAGATGGAAGTTGCTGAGGGTGTGCGGAGTGAGGAGAAGATGGGGGTCGGGGCCGAGACACAGCTGTGGTATCTGCACATCTTCAAGACCAAAATGTGGAAGAAGGTTGCCATGCGGTGCTAGCTTCCTGCCTGTGACTTGGGGCACATCACTTTCCTCTCTGCTTCCTTGTTGGTATCTCATCAGGATTTTAGGATTAGTATTTATCTAAGGTTCTTGGGGTGCAAGGAGTGGAAACGAACGCTGGCTGATTAAGCAAAAGATGTTGCAACAGCAGGTATGTGTGAAGAGATCAGGGTGGTAGAGACTTGTGCGACCTAAAGAATGTGAGCCCCTCAGAAAGAATTCGCATTCAGGAAAACACGCACACACTGTGCCTGCCAAACAAAATGCTCCTAATGGCATCATCAACCTATAGGTCCCCAGTCTGCAACCCCTCCCTACAGGAAAGAGCCCATGTCCCTGCACGGCACCAAGGTCCTGCCAGCCCCAAGGGACTCAAACCCCAGGCTAGAAACCCAATTCTGGGCAATGGGGAAGGACTACATGGCAAGGTATTGGACAATAAAGACCACATCTAGTTCTTTCACAAGTCCACAGCCTCCGGCACAGGCCCAGGACAGACAGAGCCTCGCAGACCACCCCAAATCAGGACTCTAAGGTAAGAGGTGGCTCAGGGAAGTTCAGTAGCCTATCAGATTACACAGCTCACCAGTGTCTGATCCCACAGATGACAGCAGAAGGGGGCAGGGGAAAGAGGAAGGAGCCACCATCTTGTAGGTGGACATTCATCCCTCAACAGAAATCTCACAACACTCACCCTCAGCCTCGAAGCCACCAAGTGGCCCCTACACCTAGCACTTTTCTGTTTACAGCTTTCCAATACACTGCCTCCACCTTCCCACCCCAGAAACACTGAGCTCAGGCCTTATCTCCCTCCCAACATGGATGGCCACCAAATCCCCCACTAGCTGTGTGTGATCCCAGGGGATGGGCCACATTCTGGTCATTCTGTCTCCAGCCCTGGGCCCCATCCACAGTAGGTGCTTGGTAAGTGCTTAATGGCTGCTAACCACGAAGAACCATTGCTCTACCCTCCCACCCCCCAACCCCTACTCCACCGTCCCCTTTGGCTAATTCATATGTTGGAAACGTGATGTCCAAGGTAAGGGTATGAGGCGGGGGCCTCTGGGAAGTGACTAGGTCAGAGGGCAGCCACCATGAATGGGATTAGTGCCTTTATAGAAGGCCGCAGAGATTTCCCTAATCCCTTCCACCATGTGAGAACACAGCAAGATGTGGGGGGTCTGCAACCCCGAAGAGGGCTTTCTCCAGACACAGCCATGCTGGTTAGAGCCTCCAGAAAAAAACTTCTGTTGTTTACAAGCCATCTGGTCTGTGGTATGTATACCCTAAGGTAACCATGTTTGCCCTTCTGGAAACAATGATAAGTTAGAAGACTTGGGCTCAACCACTGACACAGACACCTCCCTCCTGGTCCTATTTCCCCATGTCTACAGCAGGGAGAGAAGCCCATGATTTCTAAAGGGCTTTCTGTTTTTTCTGGATTCAGTGGCTTTGCTCTGTGAGTGCAAAAATAGCTGCAGTTTTGGCTGGGGTTGGTAGGGGGATGGCCCCTGATAGGTAGAAATGGCCCCTCACAATCAGAAGATGCACACCCATGGGCTACACCCCTGAAAAGGGGAGGCTGTGAGGGGAGGTTAGAGAGAGAGCCTGGGGAGATCAAGCCAGGATGAAGCTGTGCGGAGCGGTGGGAAGATGTGTGACCATCAGGGCCAGAAGGACACCTGGCTAAGCCTCCCACCCCCACTTGAGTACGGGTCCCAAGCTAGTCCCTTAACATGAGCCTTTGCCTGCCTCTTAGCCCACGGGCAAACAAGCAATACATCTGGTGAGCTGAGTTTTGAGGAGCTAGGGGAATACACCGGGCTTGGAGATGATGTCACCTTCGTGATGGGAGTTCAGGGGGTTGGGTCAGTGAGGCACAGCCCCCTGCTCCACTGCCCACCTACTACTCTTGACTCAGCAGAGCAGAAGGTGCTGAGATTTCTAAGCCCAAATCCCCACCACCACGTGCCATCAGACGAGAGCAAAAAATCCAGACCAGACAAAAACCAGTGCACGTTAAAGTTTTATGTGAAATTCTGTAAATGTGTAGAGAGTGGCCGGAGGCCACCTGCCCACCAGGCCTCGCCGAGCAGGGTGCCGCCACTCAGCACTTGCTGTAGATGGCCACACTGCCCCGCTCCTCAAACTCTTCCTTGCTAACCCACAGCTGCTGGAAGGCCTGTAGGGAGGCCAAGATGGAACCGCCGGTCCACACGGAGGTCTTCCTCTCAGGAGCGGCGGCCACTACAGGGCTGTCCCCAGGGCAGAGGAGGCTCAGCTCCCTCTGGAAGCGCCCGGGGAAGCCATCCAGCATGGTGCAGCCACCACACAGCAGCACGCTGGCGGCCATCTCCTCCTTGAAGCCCGCCTCCTGGCAGCGGTCCAGGCAGGCGGCGGTGAGCGCAGGGAGGCCAGGCTGGTTGCTGCCCACCAGGGTGGGCTTGAAGAGCATCTCGGCGCACTGGAAGCGCTCCTGGCCAATGGTGATGAGCTGGCCGTCGGGAAGCTCGTAGTCCACACGCACCTCCTCCAGGCCCAGGCCGAGCTCCTGCTCAGGCAGGAGTGCCGAGTAGCAGCACTTCTTCTTGATGTGCTCGATGATGTGCAGGTGGTCGTCCGTGAACTTGTGGCCGGCCTCGTTGAGCAGCTGCAGCAGGTAGTTGGTGAGGTCGCTCCCAGCGTAGTCGGCGCGTCCCGTCAGGCCCGGCAGCACGTCACCCTCCGAGATGGGCACCACGTGCGAGACGCCGTGCCCGCTCTCCACCACCAGGCCCGAGGTCTTGCCGTAGGAGTAGATGGACAGCAGCGACTGGGACGTCACATGCATGGCTGGGATGCCGAAGGTCTCGAACATGAGCTCCGCATACTTCTCCCGGTTGCTGCTGGGGCTGAGCGGGGGGTCAGAGACCAGCACGGCGTGCTCCTCGGGGAGGATCTTCATGGCTGTGTGGAAGATGTACTCCCAGATGCTCTGTACGCAGTCCCAGTCCACCACGATGCCGTATTTTAGCGGGTTCATCAGCTTCAGGGGCGCCTCCGTGTTGAGCAGCTCGTGGCCCACATAGGTCTCCTTGCGGGTGTCGCCAGCATCGGCGGCTTCGGAGTAGCGCTTGCCCACAGTGGAGGAGATGAAGTAGGTGGGCCTTGGCTCCCCTGCATAGCCGCACTTACAGTACTGAGAGCCCAGGTCAATGATGAGTGCCTTGATTTTGCGCACCTTCTTGGGCTTCATCTTCAGCTGAGAGGCTGACCCGATCTCCCGGATGCCAGCATCAGGACCCGGCAGTGTTCCTGCCTCTCCGGGGTCCCCCTGAGCAGTGCCCATGGGCATGGGGCTAGGGCTGCTCCTTGTCGCCATCTTCCTTCTTCGCTCACCTTTCTCACATCCACATCCTAGAGCTCCATGGGGAGAAATAAGGGGGTCTGCCTCCGGCAGTGCCTTGGCAACCCCTCAGGATTGTGATGTCACTGAGGGCTGGTCCATTCTGGCAGCCCCGGAGGGGTGGGCCTTGGCAGGCCCTTGATCGGTCAGTCACCCCTACTGCTGTCCACCTAACTCAGCTTGGGTCCAAGACAGAGCAGGCCGCCACGGCCAGCAGTTTTAGAAATCCAAGCACACTGGGGTCTTAGGCTTTTGTGCTCTCCCCTTACAACCCTGCTCTTGATGCCCTGTCCATCGACTGAACACCTTTTCCTCCTCTGCTTCCTGGCTTGGAGGGTGATAAATACTTGGGCCCCTACAGTAAGCCAGTGTTGTACCCAGGTACCTCATGTACGTTACTACAAAGAATCCTGAGGTAGGGCAAAGCTGAGGAAATGAAGGCTCAGAATTTAAATGATTTGCCTGAGAGCGAACAGCTCTTGAAATGTGTGTATATTTCAAGTGAACTCAAGTTCACTCAACTCCAATTCACCATGTTTAAAGAGTGTAAGGGCCCCAACAGTACTTTGGTCCCTTCATTCAACATTTATCAGGGTTTGTGGCAGGCCCAGCCCAGCGCAGCCTGCCAGCAACAGACAACTGAACCCTGGCTACAGCAGTGTCCAGTCTAGGTGGGAAGAAGACAGGATGGACACAGAAGGGTGGCAGTTTACTGGGTGAACAAAGGTGCAAGAAGAAGGAGTGGTTACCAGAGGGAGGGAGTAGCAGGTTCTGCAGAGAAGTGATGCTAAGTCGACTGCTAACGGGTATGTGGGTATTTGTCCAGTAGCCAGGAGGAAGGAAGGGCTCCCTACGCAGAGAGCACAGCCTGAGCAAAGGCATGGGGTGGGGTGGGAAGGGCACAATGGGAGCTTGTAATAGTTAAGTGTTTGAAAAAACAGATGGGGCAGAGAGGCCATGGAACCAACTAGGTTGGGCCTCAAATATTCGGAGTCAGAGCTTGGGTTAAATGGAGGACAGTATGCTAAGCTAAATAAGCCAGTCAGAGAAGACAAATAACACGTGATTTCACTCGTATGTGGAATTTGAGAAACAAAACAGATGAACATAGGGGAAGGGAAAGAAAACTAGGATGAAAACAGAGAGCGAGGCAAACCATAATAGACTCATAAACGCAAAGAACAAACTAAGGGTTGCTGGAGGGGAGGTGGGTGGGGGGATGGGCTAAATGGGTGATGGACATTAAGGAGGGCACGTGCTGGGATGAGTTCTACTCCTAAAACCAATACTACACTGTAAGTTGATTAACTTGAATTTAAATGAATAAACTTTAAAAAATAAATGGAGGACCAATGGGGAACCAATGAAGACCTAAAGTAGGGGGTGGTCAGATTCAGACCTGAAACACCACTGAAGACATTCTTGCAAGGCTTGAAAGTGATCTAAGCCGGGTTGTGAAAGTGTGGAAGAGAAGGAGGAACAGGTTCTAAAGAAGTTTAGAAAGTAGATTCTCATCTACTTGGTTTGTTCTCCAACTATCCTTGATTCAACCCCAGCTCTTACTCTAGCATATGAGGCCTTCTCTCCTTACTCCTGTGACATTTCTAACCTCAAACACTGCATTTATGTCAGATGATTAGACTAGATTGGGGAGTGAGGGAGAGGGATGAATCCCTTACCTCCATCAAAGCAAACAATCCACAGTGTCTGCCATCCACAACAAATTCATTAGCTTTCCATAGGGCCTTCCACCCCAAACTCTCCTCCCTCAAAAAATCAAAGACAAACTCCTCCAGATGATTCCTAAGAAACACTGTACTTTGGCTTTTTTAAACAAATTTTTAAATGTTTATTTATTTTGAGGGGAAGAGAGACAGCGAGCAAGCAAGGGCGGGGCAGAGTGAGAGGAAGACAAAGGATCGGAAGCAGACTCCAGGATCTGAGCTGTCGGCACAGAGGCCAAGGAGGGGCTCACACTCACAAACCGTGAGATCATGACCTGAGCCGAAGACAGACACTTAACCAACTGAGCCACCCAGGTGCCCCCAGCATTTTCTTTACTAGATTCTTCCTTCCCTCCCATACTTGTTAAAATCACAGGGGCCTGGTTCACCTTTCTTTTAAAAATTAAGGACGTGTGGAGTCCCACAAACCAGAGCAACCATACCAGCTCAGGGAGAAATGTGTTTCTCGGTCTCATCTTCCCAGTTTCCTTTTTCCACTACAGGAGGGCCTCAGGGTTGCTTTCAAGAAGGGTCACCTCATGGTTTTCTAGCCTTGGGTCAGAGGTGGAAAAGTAGGTGTGATGCCATGTGAAAATGTGGCCCAAGATAGTTTGGGCAATATAGGGTGCCTCTAACCTTGAGGGACCTCACCAGAGGCCCCAGGGAGCCCACAAGTCCCTTAGATGGCTAGTGGCATGTATGGGGGCTTGCGCATGCCAGGCCCAGAAAGCTTTGGGTGCAGTGTGCCAACAGTCTCCATCTTCTCCCATCACCAATACCATTAACTGTGCCCTGACCTCAAGAGAAGGAACACAAGGGGAGCGGTACACAGAAGCTAAGGGAAAAGGATTCCACTTACGAAAGAGCATTCGAGCATCAAAACCCTGAGAGACGAAGTAAAAGTATGAAAAATGGGGGCGCCTGGGTGGCTTAGTCGGTTAAGCGTCCGACTTTCGCTTAGGTCATGATCTCGCGGTTCGTGGGTTCGAGCCCCGCGTCGGGCTCTGTGCTGCCAGCTCAGAGCCTGGAGCCTGCTTCAGTCTGTGACTCCCTCTCTCTCTGACCCTCCGCTGCTCACGCTGTCTCTCTCTCTCTCCTAGAAATAAAAAAAAAATAAAAAAAAATGAATAAACATTAAAAAAAATTTAAAAAAAAAAAAAAAAAAAGTATGAAAAATGTCCAGCGACCTTAGCCTCAAGGATCTGGGGTGGACCCTGCGAGTCCCAGTGCTCTTGGGCTTTACAGATAGGATGGGACAATTGGCTTTAAGCCAGCACAGCACCTCTCCCACCCCCAATGAGAGGAGGAGCTAAGAAAGGACAAGCATGGGCTGTGGGGGAGGGGCATGTGAAACAGCCTGTCAGACTATAGTGTCTCAGTGAAGTAGGAAGCAAAGGTCAGGTGACAGGGTGAATAATGGCCCCCAAAAGACATCCACATCTTAATCCCTGGAATCTGTGAATGTTAGCTTTCATGGCAAAAGGGACTTTGCAGATATGAGTTAAGGAGTTTGAGATAAAGAGATTACCCTGCACTACCTGGCTGGGTGTAAAGCAATCACAAGGGTTTTCATAAGAGGCAGAAAAAGGAGTCAGGTCAAGAGCAGTCAGAGGTCTTTGAAGATGAAGGGGCCACAAGCCAAGGAATGCAGGTGGCCTCTAGGCAGGGAAAAGATTATTGCTTACAGCTTTGGGAAGGAATGCCATACTGATAGCATGATTTTAGCTGAGAGTGATTGTAGACTTCTGACCTCCAGAACTACAGACAATAAATTTGTGTTTTAACCACTAAATTTGCGGTAATTTGTTACAGCAGCCATAGGAAACTATGAGCACATGCTCTTAGACGAATCCAGGGCAATGAAAATGTGCTAAGCAGGGGTGACTGGGTGGCTCAGTCGGTTGAGCCTCCAACTTCAGCTCAGGTCATGATCTTGCAGTCCGTGAGTTTGAGCCCCACGTCAGGCCCCTGTACTGAAAGCTCAGAGCCTGGAGCCTGCTTCGAATCCTGTGTCTTCCTCTCTGCCCCTCTTCCACTCATGCTCTATTTCTCCAAAAAATGAATAAATCTTAAAAACATTTTTAAGAATATGCTAAGCAGCTGCAGATCTGTCAGAAATCAAGAGGAGGGTTGAGAAGGAAAAACAGGTCATTCTAAATTAAATATGCCTTTAGTTATCACACAAACGTTCTTTGGCTATGATGTCAAACAATCCAAGTTGGCAATGCAAACCCGTGCTGAATAGCAGAGGCACATAAACAACTTTTCAGGCAGCCACGTGTACAGAAAAGCACCTTCCTGTCGCAAATTCAACACCACCTCATCCTCTAACCACCGAACCAAGATATTGAGACTTTGTCTTTGAGAGAACACCTTGACTGCCCCCGTCTGACAGCCACAAGACTGGACTTGGTCCTTTCCTTCTCTCACATCCCTCAAGGAGCCAAGAGCATCCCCAGCAACCTCCTTAAAGGAGAAGGCCCACCATTGCAGTAGCTGCTCTTTTACAAGAAGTGTGGGACTACAGAACAAAAAGCTGGATCCGGGATGCTTTCACAGTGGCCGGTGTCAGCATCGACGTGCTCAGCTTCAGAGAGGACATGTGAGACGGTGGCCATGCAGCTTCAGGGACACACTGTGGGTCTCATCAAGGTGTGTCCACACCACACCTCTGGGAAGAAGTCATGGTCGGGAGAGCCTGGCCACCACTGGCTGTATATCCACAGGGAGCTCCGCACCTAAGAGCCTCGGTGTTATCAGTGCAATTCTGCACGGTCCAGTCTCACTGCCAACCTGCATGAAGGAGTATGTGCACAGATATGTGCCTAAAAACAATTCTTCTGCAGGCTGTCTTGAGAAACAAGGGACACAGAAGTGCTCAGTCACCACAGCAGCGATTAGTCCCGCTAAATAAATCAGGCAGTGTCAAAACTCCCTACTGCTTTCTGCTCTCAGGCAGAGTCAGAAACGAAGTCCTAGCAATGGCCCGGGGGATGGATGTGGGCTGCTCACCTTTCCAACCCCCTCTCCCACCGCATAGCTTCCTTGCTCTCCCCACTCGGCCACATGGGTCTGGAGATCTTCTAACTCAGGGGCCAGCAAATTTTTTCTATAAGGGCCCGATACTGTGGCAATGAGTCCGTTCTGCGGTTGCAGCACAAAAGCAGCCATAGACAAGATGTAAATGAGCATGTGTTTATTTACAAAAACAGGCAGGTCCTAGTCTGCTGGCCCCTTGTCTCATCAGTCACAGCCGTGGCTTCATCGTCTGCACCTGCTGTTCCCCATGTACAGGACGTACACACGGCACTGTCCCTCACCTCCTCGGGTCTTCGTTCAAGTTTCACCTCTCAGGGACCCCTGCGCGGGCACGTTAACGCAGCCACCCTCCCCAATCTCTTTCTCTGCTTTTTCTCTTTCTGCCCTTAACATTTTCTGACTTCTATTTGTTCTGGCTATTGTCTCTCTCTCCCCAACCCCCACTGACTAGAACGTAAACTCTCCAAGGGCAGAGATTGTCCTTTTCCTCCATGGCTGTGTTTCATTCCCAGCTGCCTTGCCATTGCACGTGATCAATAAAAAACTGGTTGGCTAAATCAGGCTTACTGCAAAATCTAGAAAAACCTAAGTCATCTCTGAAATACTACCCCAAGTCCAGCCTAACATGAGACACAGGTTCCCCGTATCTAGAAAACCCTAGGTTACCAGATTATGTCACAATCAGTGATGTCATCGCTAGGAAATTCTCAAGTTGCCATCTGATATAAGCCTTT